CCACTTGCAGAACCTGTGGACACCCCACCTCCTCCCTTCCTTCAGGGTTTGTCCCAGGTGCCAACACTGCGTGTTACACCACTGCCAGCCAGCTATGGACAGCTGCAAATACCATGCTGTCCAACTGATCAGACACTCAAGGCCTTTCAACACAGGACAAGGTTTGTTTGTTTATACAAAACTTTAGCTTTGCACATCCTCCAGACAATGCAGGTAATCACTACCTAGGACTTGAACAGATTATTCAGTCTATTACCCCTATCACATTGGAAGGGTGCCTGCAATGGGGTTGCACTTGATTTTCCATGTAGTACTACTGAAACTCCACAGGGAGGACTCCACAAGTGCTAGAAGGTGGTAATGAGATGAGCAAATCCAGGTACCTGACACCTACACAGATATGCCCTTGGCATGATGTAACTCACCTAGGCCATGCCAGCATGAAATCCTGACTCCTATGCAACCATGACTTTTCCAGAGTCGGTCATAAAAGGATTGAGAGGATTGCTCAAAACCATCTACTCAATTCGTCTTCTTCATATCTTGGGTGTCTCTGCTAAGGCTAAGCTTTGTCTCCAGTTCCTACCCTGAGACCTACCTAAACTTTTACATCTGTCTGGGTTCTTGCATATCCCAACTTCTGCTCTAGTTTTCCTTTCCCTGAGCGTATCCCACTTCCTATTAATTCCCTGTCTCTGGTATAGATCAGCGGTTCCTGACTTTAGCCGACTATGTGGACTTCTTTTTTGGCTTAGAACCCCAGCATTCAGTCCTGCTCCAAGCATCACACTGGACCACCCATCTACCAGTCCTTGACAAGATCAAGAAGAAAGGTAATACTGAATTATAATAATTTAATTAATATTTTGATAAGAGTGCCTGAAATATTCTGTTGACTTGTGGTCATAGCCTGACAAAAGTATAAAACTGTATAGGAGGTGAGAATAAAACCAGTAAACATTGTTTAGTCCATCTCCTTTCTACCAGGAAGAGGTAGACAAATAACTATTTTAAGGGAAAAGTTAGCCCACTCACCCCTTCTTAAAATACAATAACAAGGACAGATGGTATTTTTTAAAATAATAAAAAAAGAAAAAAATGATGCTGTTTTTCTACAATAAAATTAGCAAATGGATATATAATCGTGGCAAGGTAAAATGCTGAGTAACATTTGTAAAATATTTTACAAATAATAAAAAAAAAATCTATATTACATTGGATAAGATCAATGTTTATTTATAATAAACTTTCATGCTTCAGGGCATAAGTCTTCCGCTACCTGATGGAACAAAAAGAAGATTGCTACATATGTATGCTTTACCACTTTGTTGTACTGTTTCTTGGGGGGGCGGTTTATGCTTTTCTCTGCAGCTTCCCTATGTTGAGGAAAAGATTCTGGCTTGGATGGACTATTGATTTGTTTTAGAAAAGCAGTCCTATGTTCCTGTATGCATTCCTACCTTTAAAAAAAATCATAGTTTTACTTTTACTGTATTAACATATGTATGCTCATTTAAGTAAAAGGGTACCTGCTAGTGCTAGTGCGCTACTCTGATAAAGAACTGTAATGTGCATGACAAACACTGTGCATACAACCTTATTTATAATGAATGTTACACAGTCTGGGAGGGCAGCTTTTTATTACTCATTAGTCTAATAAATGTGTTACTTAATGACTTTGCCTTTGTTTTGGATTATTGTTTTGGAGGAAAAGAATCTGAACTAATAATCAGAAGCAGCATCTTACAGGAAAAATATAAAAAAATACATCTGTCAGTCTTGCTTGATCCTGCCAATCTTTGTACTCCTAACCCCAGACTGTATCATCATTGTGTGTGAATGTTTGTGTGCTCTAGTCAGACAACCTGTAGTCTAGGTAAACAGTTTACTTACAAGATGTATAGCCTAGTTCATCTTATTAAAACTAGACAGTGCAACATACAATTTGTCACCTGCTTAAATTCAGTCATCATGAATTCTAATGTTGTAATGCAAGGCATGTACTTAATTTCCGTTGCTCTAATATGAGTCAGTAGCCAACTGGAGCTGTATTGTAGGAGCTGTATTGTAGGATCCCGATAATGCAGGTTGACTAAGAGAAGACACATATGTATTGTTTACCTTGGAAAAAATAGCTGACTCTAGAGGGATACAGGTGCTCAATTAGAGTGGTGTAACTTTTGTGCATAAAAATATGATGAAGTTCTTTTTTGGTGGCATACTGAAAGGAGCCTTTTCTCTCCATTTTGGTAATACAATTTCTGAACTTGTGGTGAAAATTTGGCACACTATGGCAGGATCAAGAGGCCACAGGCAGTTCCAGCTTTCTTAGGGTTCAGGAAGAGCATCTCTCTTTTATATATGTTCTGAATTTGCTTGGGGAGCGGAACTTGGTTAATTGGTCCTTCAAACGATGGACCGCAGTATTCATGACACTACCAGGCTTGTATACTCTGGTGTCAAGATTTCCCCCTCCCCACCCCTAAGGAGCTACTACACATCTTTTCTTGTTAAGCAAATTGAGTTTGCAGAGTATGGGCCAACAAGCAGTTAAGATCCAGATGCTGGGGTCTTGTGCTGCCTGGAACAAACAAATTGAGCAGGTCAACTAGATTTTGAGACAATAATTTGCAATATTTTCTCAATAGGATGCTTGGATTTCCCTCCTCCTCTGAACAGACCTTGCTCATAACAATGCAGATTGCAATTTTACACAGTACAATTTTCCTTTTAAACCTAATGATTGCAATCTCTGATTTGAGCCTGCTCTGCCTAAGACTTCTGCTATGTATCTAAGGCTAAGCTGCTCACTTTCAGCATGTTCA